TTTTTTTTTTTTAACAACCAAAAACATTTTTGAAGTTACAAAAAAAAGACAATCATTTACATTTTAGAACTTTTATACTCTGAGAATAAGCCACAGTGCCCGGTTTTGGTGAATGAAAGGCTTAAAAGATCCCAGCCTGACTGGGTGGTAGTGATTATCTAGGTCGTATTCTCCAGAACGGGCCTTACTCTGTCCATCTCATGAATCACTCTGCTCTGGAACTTTCAACTCTTAACCCTTTCGATATCAAACTTCTTTGCCGCAGAAGGCCTCTTCCATGTGTCCCTTTCCCTCTCGTCTGTCCTTTGTCTGCCTTTCTTTGTAACTGGCTGCACGTGCCTTCACCCTGGTGTCTCAGCGCCAACAAAACAGCCTCCACCCTCCAGGCAATTCACATCCCTCACCTCCTGCAAAGTTGCCTCCAGCTCCTCTCTCCCAGCAATCACTCCTGGTCTCCCTTGCCCAGTGCCTATTTGTACCTCCGGGGAGCACTACCTGGCTGCAGGGACACTCTGGGGAGCCAGAGGACCTGAGCTCTAGTCTTGGCCCAGCTACCTATCAGCTGTTATGGTCTCAGGCATTTTCTCATTTTTAAACTGTCAGCCAAGCTGCTTCAAAGGGATGTGGCTACACGGTAATTAATGCTGCCGGGCCCTGAAAAGCAAAAATGCTACCAAGTGCAAGCAGGGTTAGCCAGTGGGCCCCTGAGGACTGCCACCCTCTGCCCAGCATTTCCCACCTGCTCAGGAGCTCACTCTTTCAGCAGCTTGGTTACCATGGTGAAAGGCCAGCCTTAGCGCTGCTGTGTAAAGTTTTTACCATCGGGAATGCAAGGTCCCTGAGGGCAAGACTGGATTTTAACGTTTACTTGGTGAGCTTCTCTAGCCCATAGCACCAATCAGGGCTGAGCGCGAAGTAGGTGCTCAGTCTGAACGTTGATAGCTTTGATTCGAATTTCCTTGGACAGATCCACCACCTGTCACGTGATGGCCTCATAACAGTGGCAGGACGGTGGAAAACCCAAGCCTCCTTGTTCATTCATCCCACCAAACATGACCTCTAGTGGGAAAGGCGCTCCTGGCAGCCTGGCCCGGGAGTCCTGGCACTCAGCATTGCTGGCCCAAGTTTTGGGACCACCCGCTAAAGCCCACAGACCTTCCCACTGGAATAAAAGTCCACACCAAATGGGTAGGAAACATGGTCGTGCTTTGGGTGAGCCAGTCTGATGAGAACCACAATTTGGCATGCAAATCCCAAGTAGGGGTACTGCCATGTAATAAATCCAGTGTGGGATCATCCCCAGACCATTCCAAGGGCCATTCCAAGGACCCCTGCTCTGGGGATCATGGTCTCCAGTGAGGGATCCTCACTCCCTGATAAGAAAGACCTCTCTCTCGCAATTGGAGAAGGCCAGAGCTCACAACTGTCCCAATAGACAGTCCCCAGCCTCCCTCCATAGGTGGCTGCCAAAACCCCACAACCCCCCCCCCCCAAAGGAGTCATCTCCTTTGTTATTTTCCAGAAAACCACACTAAGTGGCTGCAGAGATGAGAAAATGACTCCACCCCATCCGAAGAGCCCATCACACAAATGTAATTCAGAAAATACATTCTGATCCTTCCCCTTCCCACTAACACGTTCCCCCACCTCCGGGTGCACACATCTATATATCACACTTGACAAAATTCATCTTCTTTTTGGAAGAACCTGGTCCTTGGAGATCTGCTCAGGGCAATGCCATTGCAAACACTGTAATTTCACATCAGTCATGGTAGAAACAAAACCAGTTACCAAAGAACTAACTTGAGAGCCCTCAAGTCACATAGAAATGGGTTTGCCTTAGCCAGGCCCACCAGCGGGGCTGGAAGCAGCATCCCTAGCCCTGGCTGGCCCCAAAGAGCCTGGAAAAGCTGCTGTTTTGCTTCAGATCCATCCAGGATAAAACGCAGAATAAATAATGTGTTGCTTGGGAGTTTGCAGCTATGTGGATGTAACCGTCATGGTGTTCTCAGAATTCTCAGACAGAACCTCGCTTGATGGTCCAAAGGCTCAGCGGGTGCCTCCTGAAATCACCCCAGGTCACGCTGAAGCATGCGGTGAGAGGGGAGGTGGCACAGGAAGGAAGGCTTTTGTGAGATCCTCAGGTCCGGTTCACTGCCGGGTGGGTCTCCCTTCCCGGTGAGCACGGAATCATGCATTCTATCTTTGGTTTCGTGCCTTAAAGGCTTATGCCTTTGGAAGAGTGGCTCAAAGGTGTGAGAGACTAATGGCCTGGGGCCTGGATAAAGGACACCCACACAGGCTCTCTGCTGAAGACACCTGGGAGCCATGGGTTCTCTCCTCGACTTTGGGACGAGAGGTCTTCCAGGCCTCAGCACCCAGGGCTGAGGTCCAGCCGCCAAAGCATGTCCTGTAGAGAAGCCTGCAGCCGGCTCAGGGCCACCACCTCCGTGGAGTAGAGTGACGCTTCCAGGGCACCGCCCAGGCTCTCGAGGGTCTCCAGGCCCCTGGCCCGGGGCAAGGGACAGTTCTTGGAGGAAGCCAGCAGGTGGAGAAGGTCCCGGAGGTTCTCTAGGTCATTAGATATTTGGACCACGTTTCTAGAAGGCAGACCGGTGAGGATCTGTTGGTAGATGGCCAATGTCTGGTCCATCTTGGACAAACTCAGGACAGGGTGGAGCCCAGGAATGAAGTCAAGACCAGCGACTCTCTGTTTGGAGGAGACAGACTGCTGTGCGAGAGGAAAAGGGAGAGCAGGGGCTCAGAGAAGTTGGTTCTGCAAGGCTCTCGGCCTTTCCCATGAATGTGGAGGTCCGCTCTCTTGGCTGCCTCCTCTCCCCTTCCTCACCGCCCTGGCCCAGGCCCTTGATTCTTGTGCCCCGGGGACTGCCAAGCTTCCAAGCTGATCTCCTGGACTTCTATCTTCCTGCCCTTCCCGAATCACCCTGCCCTCCCCTTCCAGATGGATCTTCGAAGATCGTTCCCTCCTCCAAATGACCTCTGCTGTAGAACCAGCCATGAGGCCCGATTCCTGCTTAGTTAAGTCTCTTCCCCAGGCACTGAGGTCCTCCCTAAGTGCCCCTTCCCTAGCCATCCTCACACCCTTCCATTCCCAGAGGACTCCTCCTTCCCAGTCAGGTCCTCCAAGGCCTCTGGCCCCTCAGGGATCAAGGCCGGCCCCGCCTCACTCCTCTGCTCCAATAATGCTGGATACCAGGAGGGGGTGGCCTGCAGCCCTCACTTTCTGCGCCACCCAAGCTGGGACACTCTGGATCTACCCCGTGTGGCCTTGGCGGATAGCTACCGTGAAAGCAGGGACACTCACGCTGCTCTCCATAAAATGCTCAAGACTCTGGTTCTGAGCTGTCCGAGGCCACTGTCAGACACATATGTGTCCAGGAGATGTGGAAGTCTCTAGATTGCCCCTTGCTGGGTAAGCAAGCAGGCTTTTAAGACTGGGGGCTACCAAACCCACAACGAAAAACCTTTAAAGAAGGCACACTGTGGTCTGGTTCTATGAGAGGGTTTATCTAGTTGCTTTATCTAATTTAATCTCATAACAACCCTGTGAGGACTGTACTAGCTAGCTGATGAAACCAAGCCTTAAAGACATGGAGGAACTAGCTTAAGGTTTTACAGATAGAGAGCCAAAGTGTGGAGATTCACATTTAGTCTTCCTAATTCCAAATACAGCCCGCATGTAGGAAGCGGCTGTTCGTGAGGCAGGGAGGAGTCAAGGCCACCATGGCCCCTACATGTGGCTGCACAGGCTTCAGCTGACATCTGAGGTCCTGGTTCCCCCATGGGCAAACCTGTTGTCTTCCCAGGCTCTCCCTACCGTGTGTGAAATGTCATTGATCCTGGTGACAATCGTCTTGATGAGGGTTTTGGTGTCATCCTGGACTTTTCGGATTGGCACAGCTTCAACATAGGACAGATAGGGCCAAAGCCACAGGAATCGGCACAAGGGTCCACAAAGCATTTTCCTTCCCGGGATGTACGTCTCGGGCCTGCAAACAGAAGGAACCACACGTAGCAAGTCGCCGGTGATCTCAGAAAACACCCATATGCCCTGTGACCAACCATATTTTCAGATGTGGATAAAAAGGAGACTCACTTTGTGCCATAGCGATCATCTCCTCAGAGTCAAAGACAATTCATTATCTAGAAGTACATTAATGAAATGCATTTCCTTGGGGAGGCAAGACCTGACCAACTCTGTGATGCGGTGTGGGATAGATCACAGAGCAGCAAGCCAGGGCCTGAGCAAATGGACGTGGTGGTGACGATTTGACTTTATTGCATGCTGCGAGGAAAAGAACCAGCTTTTATGGTCCGGTCTGAATCCAGCCATTTAATAGCTGCATGACTTTAAGCACATCACATAACCATGAAAACCTCCACCTCCATCTCCTGCAATATACCTACCTCGAGGCTTTTATGAGGATCAAATTAGATAATGCATGTGCAAGAGCTTTAAAGGTGTTGTGAAATGTACTCTATTACTACCCTTATTACTAGAGATTACGTTACTTGTCCTCTCCATTACTCTCCCACAGCGGCCTGCTGATATCTCTGTGATGGCATTTCTCACTGGCTTTATAACTTCCTTTCTCTCCTGCTGGGAGCCTGAACCCGCCCGGCACTGGTGGAAGGTCTTCAAATGTGTCGGATACAGCACCGAGCACCAAGGATACAGTGGTGAATAATAGATGTTCTCTACTCTCAGGTGGCCTATGCTTTAATAGGAGAGATAAACAGGGAAGCAGTCCATTCCAATACAGGCAGAACAAACTGTACAAGAAGGACAAGTGCAAGATATCACAGGAGTACAAAGGGAGCTCCCTGGAAGAGGTGTCACCTGAGCTGGGTATTAAAGACCAAGCGGCTGTCAGTAAGAGTGGACAGTGGTGGGCACAGTGGCCAGAAAACAGCTGGTGGAGGCAGGAGAGACTATCTAACATGTTCGTCCAGAATGTTTGACACTTTCAAAGTCATGGAACAATGAATTCTAATATTAATAATATGCAGATCCTTGAATAAGCAGCAGTTTTAAGGAGACACGAAAGACAAAGGTAATAAAGTGAAATGTATGCGAGCCTGTGATCCATGCTAAGTATGTGTGCGTGAGCCTGAAATGATAATCAAATGTAAGTAAATATTAGCATGAAGGTGCTGGAGATGGCCAAAAAGTTAATCTCTGCTTTTTATGTTCTGCCTCATCTGGGTATTGATAAAAATAGACTGTACATTTTCTGTCCACAGGTGGCAATATTAGTATAATTCGTATGCTGGCAATATAATAGAAAAAAGTGGCTGTTTATATATTCTTTCTTTATAATTCTTGATCAAAGGTATGCTTTTCATCTGAATTTCATAGACGTGGGAAAACGAAGGTCGAGAAGATGTGTTAACTTGCCCAAACTCAAACAGGTAAGCGGCAGAGTCAGGGTTCTGCTTAACGCAGAAAGCCTGGGGTGCCTTCCCCCCACCCTAAGGTTTCTCCAGCCTTTAAAGAGAGCCCCAAATTACAAACCACCCCAGTGTTCAACCCAGGCACCTCCAGAGACCATGGCCCTTGGAAACAAATACCCGGCTCTAGGATGAAGCTATGAGACTGTGCCACCAAATCAACTTCAAATATGAAAAATACTAGGTAATTCAGGAGGGGGCCCTTCAGGCGTTTTGGGGCTTGTTTTCTTTCTTAAGAAGTTGACACCCCCTCTATTACCTACTGATTACCTGAGTAAACACTTGCGCCAAATGTTTGTGGAAGGGAGTTCAGTGGTGCTAACCCCCAACAGGGTTCCACGAAATCCTAATAAAGTTGGAGAGAATAGTGGTTAGGCCCCGAGGGTTCAGCAGCAGCTCTCTCCTTTTTAGCTATGAGTCTCTAGGCAAATACTTAACTTCCCTACAGCATCCCATTCTCATTAGTAAAACGGAATAATACCCACTGGCTCAAAAGAGTAAATGAGATGAACCTGTCAAGCCCCTGCATATTGTGTGTGTATGTGCTGAAGGGTGGGTGGGGGGTGGGGTGGGGGTAGGAAAGGTCAGCAGTTTCTTGGAATTGCGTGATTACTGGGCAGGGCTTAAAACACTGGGGCAACACTACCTGTAACCAACGCTGAATCTAGCATTTTCCTCGCCTTGGGTCATCTCAACAGGGTGCCTGGTATTTCAGGGCGTTTCCCCTGCGGCACAAGATTGAGCGGTACCCTTTGCTAGGATTTTTGCGTTAATGACACCCTCCTTCCCAAGAGAATTTATTGCCAGATTAACTCTGGTCATAGTCGCTCTCACATAATGGCCACCCTGTAACACCTGAATGGGAAAACAGTTTTACAAGCCCCTCTCTCACCACTGATAACATGCTTCGGTGGAGGCAGAAAATACATTGTAGTTCCTTGAATTGAGAAGCTGAGGCTCAATCTGCCTGAGAGGCCAGATTTAGAGGAGCTCCACAGAGAACTCATAACAAGCCCATCTGGGATCAAAGTGGTGGAGAGAACGTGGCCCACCAGTATACACAACACACGTGCTCACACACATAACACACATCATGGGCACGTACACAAACATGAACAGACCGAACCCTTTTAGTAGAGACTGCTAGTTGTCTCCAATATCTATTCTTCCATTCTTTCCAAGTAATTTATATCCAAGTTTAGATGGGGATGTGGCCATCCAGAATAAATACGACATTTCTCAGCTTCTCCCAACTAGATTTGGCCACGCCACTAAAGTCTGGCCAATCAGGGGTGCCCGGGTGGCTCAGTCCGTTAAGCGTCCGACTTTGGCTCAGGTCATGATCTCGTGGTTCGTGAGTTCGAGCCCCAAGGGGGGCTCTGTGCTGACAGTTCGGAGCCTGGAGCCTGCTTTGGATTCTGTGTCTCCCTCCCTCTCTGTTCCTCCCCTGCTTGCACTCTGTCTCTGGCTCTCTCAAAAATAAAGATTAAAAAAAAAAAGTCTGGCCAATTAAATTTCAGCAGAGGTACTCTGTGGCAGCTCTCGGGTTATGTGCCTTTGCCTCTTCTTTTCTCATCCCTTCCTCCATCCCATGCCTGGATTGTGGATATAGCAGCCGGCATTCTGACGCCATCTTGGATCATGAGGACGAGGGCCTCACCTTATGAATGATGGAGTAGGGAGCTGGAACCCAGTTCCCTGAGGACTTTGTGGGGCCAAGGTGACATACTGGCCTCAGACTGCCCATCCCCGGACTTGTGTGTGTGAGAGAGACATAACCTCTGTCTTGTTTAAGCCGCTATGGGTCTCTGCTAAATGCAGCCAAATTTAATGCTAGTTAATTTATACACCTGGATGTGGGCATCAGAAAAGAGTGGATATCAAGTCTTCCTGGGTTCATCTGAGTGTCAATACCTGAGTGAGGTCTGGCTGTGGTCCAAGAAGGTGGTACAGGTGGCTGGTGAGAGCACAGTTTGGGACTGGACAGGGCAGGAATAATTTAAGACGGCGACTATAACTTCACTGAGCCCAGCACCTTATATATAATAATTACTCAATGGACAGCTGACAGTTGACAGTTAACATGATTAATCGTCCACTGTGGACCAGGTACAAAGACAAAAAAGACATGCATGGAGCCACAGGAAGTCAGGAATCAGGACTAGTGAGGGACCGGCTGAAGACTCCTGGTCTTTCCGGAAGCCCAGTGAATATACCGCAGTATTTCATGTGGTTAAACATTAACATGAATTACTTGTTAGAGATAAAAGTGAAGAACAAAACTGTGCTCTTGAACAACTGGCTTACATAATTAGCTACAATGCAAGGAGGAATGTTTAAACAGATAGCACGCCTTGGGTAACTGAGGGGAGGGAGTCACATGTACAAGGATGCGCTGCGAAGTTCAGCAGAACTCTGCTTGAGTGGGTGTATAGGACCGTGGGTAAGTTTGCCAAACTCTCTCAGACTCATTTCTCTTAGCTGTAAAATGGGGATGATACAAATCGTAATTCCCACTTGAGGCCGTTCGGCGGACGAAATGAAGTAACGTAGGTAAAGTGCTAGCTCTTTGCCTGGCATATGGTCAACACGTTAGCTGTTGTCACCAGCTAAGAGATCAAGGAGGCATCTTGGAGGAGGTGGCATTTGATAAGGGCCGTAAGAGTGAGGAGGAACTTCACTGGGTTCGTGAAGGTGGAGGAGAGGAGCAGCCCGGCTGAGGACTCAGAGGCTGAAGAACACTTATGAGCTGAGGACACGGGGGCTCACAGCCCACACGGGAGGTGCAAAGGGCCAGGAGGTGGGGAGGGCTTGGGCACCGAGTGCCGCGTAGGGAGGCTAGGCTTCTTTTGCAGAAGTGAGGGGCTCTGACTGTCCCCAGGCTAATGCTTTCAGCCCAGATGACGCGAAGGATGGAGGTGGAAATTGGCAAAGGCAGCAGGAGGGAGGTGCGACGTTGCCGATTTGCTCGTTGCGACTGGTGGGACCTCAGGGGGACCCATCCAGCTGACAGTTCGGGTTGGGAGTCACAATCAGATGGACGGGGCCGCAGATGGAGACCCAGGAGTGCCTAGCTGGAGAGAGCTGAGGTGAGAGAAATGGGGAGGAGAAAGGCGAATGTCAGCCAGCTGCCTGGGCTGCGAAACCTTTTCCCTCTAGAAGTTTCCAAAACGGTTCTGAACATTTAGGAGCTGTCATTTTCTGCTAGTTAAAAGATGAGCCGCTGAAATGTTGATACAACATCCTGTCTCTTTTATTTCTCTCTGACCATTATTCAAGCAGAGCCTGTGGAGGAAATGTGTACCATTGGGGGAGGTGTGGTCAGTGGCCTCCCCTCCACTCTGCTGGCTCCCCACCCCGCACTTCTCTGCTCATCCTCTGGGCCTCCTGGTCACTAGTTTTTGCCTCCTGCTGCCTTCCCTCTCCTTTATTTTTTTTTTTTTATTTTTTAAAAAAAAATTTTTTTTTTCAACGTTTATTTATTTTTGGGACAGAGAGAGACAGAGCATGAACGGGGGAGGGGCAGAGAGAGA